ATCGAGTAGGAAAAAATATGGAATAATACGAAGAATTAAAATCGAAAAAAAATAATAAATCGAATAATACGAGTGGGAATCGAACAGTGGAAAAACCCCATTATCCAGTGAAATTAGAAAAGAAAAAAAAAAAAAAAAAAAAAAAAAAAAAAAAAAAAAAAAAAAAAAACGAGAATGGAACGCGAAGGGTTTTAATAAGTAATACGAATATTGGACTAGTAGTAGCTGATGAAAGACACTTCTTATGGGACGACCGCTCTTGGTACGAGCTCCGGGATCGTTATTCTTCTCTTTGTTTTATGTGTGTTAAACCTCTCACATGAGCTATATATTTATAATAATTCTATGACAGGTGTCAGTCTCTAATCAACTGTGATATTATCGTTGAATCATGATTGGCTAAAAGAATGAGCAAATTCCTTAGTACGATATTCTATTGATGAGTAATACGAGTGAAAATCATGGGATTAAACATAGCTTAAACTAAAGTTAATATATGAATATATTGTAAATGTATAGAAAAGGCTACGAGGAATATTTATATCATAAGACTCAAAAGAATAGTGCTAGAATGACTAAGCAAAGGTGTAAAAACTGTGTAGGGCGTAACCAAAAGTACACATGCTAATGGGAGGAGATAAGAGGTTTCCTTATGAATTCAATGCATACCATTATACTTGTGTGCGATGGTGGCCTTACTGAAATCTTATATCGATATTTTTATATAGATAATTGATCGTTCTTTATTCTGTTTTCATAAGAAAAGCAATAGTATTTTTTTAAACTGATGTCTAGCTTAGTTAGTCTGTAAAAACATTAATTTTCTCTCTCATAACACACTTACAAACTTGTTGTCAACTGCTTGAGACAAAAGTTTACAATTTTTCTGATAAAGTCAAACATATTAAATGCACTAATAGCCTTTGCTAGAGGTAAGCCCATGACCATTGCCAATGAACTGTCTGTCTGTCCACAGATTCAAGCCTGGGCTCGTAAGGCCACGTCTTGTGGTTTTCATCTTATTCCAGCCCCTGTCAGTCCATTTCCTGATCCATTGGGCTTCAGCTTTAACCCCTTTAGACTACCGGTCTACATTCCAGTCCTTCTTAGTGCGTGCCAGGATCAAGGACAAGAAAACATATTTCTAGGTAAAAATAATAAAGTTACCGCCGTTTGCATTACTACGCGGCCACCCCAGACAAAAATCGCGACGTGCACTTTGCAATAGACTGCCGTCAATCAAACACGTTGACGTCATTTACACGCGTTTGTGATTCAAAAGGCGCCAAATTTTGTCTATTGTTTACAAGTATTATGAGCCACACTCAACCGGGCCTATCCGGGCCGATCCAAAAGCGTGTATAAATGACGTCAACTTGTTTGATTGACGGCAGTCTATTGCAAAGTGCACGTCGCGATTTTTGTCTGGGGTGGCCGCGTAGCAATGCAAATGGTGGTAAAAAACTGGAATGCATTGCAAGAACAGTTGTTTGAGTAGTATATTGTTTTCTTAGGACGACGAAAAACCTGGAATTTTGGGGTGAATGGCGCACGTCACGCGAATAATTCTTGTACGTCATGGAGTCTTATCACACGGGGGCCATTTTTATCCTCATGAGAATAAAAACCCTTGTTTCATTGGCATAAATTTATTCTCAAGCATTTGAATGCGAGGCTACGTGTAGTGCAATCTATTGTTCAAACCAACATCTTTTTTATCTTTGCTTTTTAGGTTTTGGGCCTTCGACGTATCGACCCCGAAAGTTCTTATTTCTGGAAGCTATTCTTGAAAAGTAAGTACGAAAATCAAGGCAAAAGTGAGATGCCACTTTGAGATTTGGCTTTTTTACTTTTGTGATGTCAACCAGCATGGCGGAAGTATCTATCTAGCCGGCGTTCTTTTTTCATCGTGTAAAGGGACCATATTGAAGCGGGTCAGGTCGTGTAAAGGGACCATATTGAAGCGGGTCAGATCGTGTAAAGGGATCATATATGAAATTTTTTCTCTTATTCTCTCTATTTCATTACACACACCGAACGCACAATTTATTACTACTATAAAGGGATCATATTGAGCGGTGCGCATACTTAGGTGACGGCGCAAATTGTTTTAACGTACTCTGGCATTCTATCAATCAGAAAGTGAAATTCTTAATTAATGATGCGTATTCCTTTCCTTATGAAAAGACAAGGTATGGCTGTCATGTTGACTTCCATGTTGGCGCAATGTTGGCAGCAATGTTGGGCAATACCAATAGAGTGTTTTCTCAAGGTTGCCTGCGCATCCAACTTGACGGGCCACAAAACTGAAAAACGCAAATTCAGTAAAATTGAGAAGATAGTTTCATATTTAAGGAGGAGAATAATCAATTTTTATGAAATCTTATCGAAAAATATTTCATAGCAATGCATGGTAATACTGGTGTTCTGGTATCGTGGCCCGTCAAGTTCCTTATATTTGGATGCGCACGCAACCTTGAGAAACGGTCTATTCTTTTGTCATTCGGTATGTCGGATATGACGTCAAACGCAGCCCAAAAGTACAGTAGTTGACCTCAATTATTTATTTACAGTTTTGGCTTCATAAAAGACTCTCCGTATGGCTCATCTCAAAACATTTACTCATTCTTTGCGCCACCTGTCCAGTGTCGGGCTGCTGACTATGTCCACTCCTCTGGGGCTGCTTTTGCTCGAATACATGACCAGGACACCTCGGCCAAGCCTGAACTCTACGGGTTTGGTCCTGGTGACGGATCGCCACCGGAGGGAAGCGTGGGGTTCTTTTGGATGGATAACTACATGTTGACGAAACGATGGCGATCAGCAGCTACTGGAGATGTAGAATTTGTCAGGAAGTTAATGGCCGATTTTGTAGATTTCTGTTCTAATAAGAATGGAGAACTTAAAGCATTCTGGGACGATTCTTGGGGTTCTTTAATAAATGCAAGTCAGGATTTATCAGAACAAGAGACGAGTACTGATACAGCAGACAACAGTACTATTTCTGTACCCCATATGGAAGAAAAGGAAACTGCAGAAGAAGTGAATACAAAAAAAGAAGTCTTATTGGATGGGGAAACATTTTAAACATGGGAAAATAAAAGATTTCTATTCTACTGGGTTTACCTCACACAATAAACCATTTGCAGAATGGAATAGATTGGAAATCTTTTGTTTTGTCCCCCCAGATCGAGCTGTTTTGACGTCATATGCAAGAGGTCTATACTTTTTTCTCTCATAAGATACTTTTCGATTTCAAGATACGAATCAATTTAAAATTTGTTTACCATCCAGCAGAGCCTTTCCCAAGGGACCTTGAGCTGAATTGATTCGTTATCCAAGTCATATATCAGCACGTGACTGTTTGTTACAAAAGGTGGGATAGACGTTCGACTAGTTTCGCCAGACATCCTGGGTAATGCGCGAGAGTCACTGCTCCCACATGATTGACGGAACAATGAAAAACGTGAATAAGTGAATTAAAAACAGAGCATCATGGTAAAATTTATGACTATTCTTGTGTAAATACGGCCACATATGTATGTTTTACACGAGCGCACACGGAGCCGCTCATATTTTATGGTGTCATTTGGCAAATAAATTCAGTACGCTTATTCTGGAGGTACATTTTAACTACAAACCATGTTATTCGACGATTACGCCTGCACGCTCTTTCCCTTGTTTCTTTAAATAAATAAATTAAGCTATATATGTCCCAAGAAAATAAAAATATGCATTACACTAAATGTAGCACTGCATGAATGTTGCCTACACGTACTTTATGAAGTTTTATTTTTCTGCAAAGATATCATTATAGATAGTATATTACTGGTACTCGTGCACCTCTGCGTTACAACTATTTACTGCTGATCACAACTTTCAGTAACTACTGCCTTACAACTAACTACTTGCAATTGAACTATCCACACCCCTTCCCGCCTCATCTGACGCACGGGGACCGGGCAATGCTAAGTAGCTACGTATATACAAAGCGAAAAACGTTTATAGAAATATAAAAAGAAAATATGTCAAGTTAGGAAAGACAGGAAAGCTTAGCTCTTCTTTTCGCGGATCGATATTGCTTAAATGTCTGATAATGATGAAAAAAATAGCATCAAAAAGTTTAGTCTATCTGGTGCATTGTTTTCACGGCTAATGTTATGCTGATTAACCAGGAACTGTGGTCCAGTGGAAAAAACTTGGTCGTTGAAGATACTGATTCAAACTCGATTGAGGAGCGTTAGCACTTGGATGGGTGACCTAAACATTATACCTACTCAGGCTTTTGCTTCTTTTTTCGTTTTTCATTTTAAAATATAATATAGAATAAAATAATGATCTTTTTCTACATTTGAGTAACCACTTTCCTATATTAAATATTTTAATTTCATTTTAATGGGGTTTTTGAGTACGCAGTCAGTGACTAAACGTCCGGCAGCCGGACACGGTCTTCAAATAACTAAACGTTTTGGGTCTCGCAGCTACGTAGTGCATGCTGGATGCTCGAGCGAGAACGCAGCAACACAGGTATAGACTCTTCAATATTTTCAAGATGGCGGCGAAAACGAGAGAGACTGTGGATGAGTATTTTGGTTCCCAAAGCGCGCCGGGTCCAAGTTTTCGGGACCCATAATTCCTTTCGGTCATCGTACCGTTACAGTCTCCATAGTTAATAAGCGTGGAAACGGAACGGACGAGCTAGAGACTGTGGAAGAGTCTACAACACAGGTAGCCCAAACATTCATATTAGCTATGCTTACTAGTATATACGTACATATTTAAACATGAATATTAAATTTACTTAATCACTACTTTTCGCTTGTTCTTTTATTGAAATTAGTGTAGTTTGCTTGTCTTAGATTTTCAAATGCTTAAAAGTTGCATGTTGATTATTTTGGGTCGAGTCCCATCCTTTCTCTGTCACAAAACCACAGCGACCCCACACTCGGTGCAGCTTGTTCATGATCATCTCAACAACATGTCCTCAAGAAGAGCTCTACATTTTGTTTTCAAAGTTGGAAATAGAAATGAAACTACAAAATTTTATCGCTCCATTTTGGGTATGAAGGTTAGTATATAAAAGACAATATATGAATGAATAGATAAATGGAAAGATCAATTTCCTTGAAGAGTTCTTCCATTAGATTTGAATATAATGTACAGTGAAGAAGGAAATGCCTCTCATCTTCTACACTATCTGGGCAATGGAAGCATCTCCTTTCTTCTGGTTTTTTGTATTATTCCCTTGAATGTCTTGCCTTTTCGATTTCAAGGTCGTGATTACTAATTCTCAATTTGGTTAATGCTTTTCTGTGTTCAAAATTTTTAACTTTGATTAGATAATTTTCAAACGAGTAATCTGTTTTTACCAGACGATATGTCYTTAATTTATTTATTTTTGGCCTGAGGGGCCTCTTCTAGTTTTTTCATCATTGAAGAGTTCCCCTTGCCAGACTTGAATTGCAATATCCGTTAATCTAGTTTTTATTATTTTGAATGGGTTCTGACTTGAACAATGATTGTAGTTTATTTCAAGCCAGATATTCGTGAAGAATTTGAAGAGGTGGGTTGAGGAGGGGNGGGGGGTGGGTGGGGAGGCAATCTTGTGGTTCAATACTGTTTTCTTCCCTCTCCTCTCTAATACGCTTTTGTAAATTATTCTTTCAACAGGCCCTCAGACATGAGGAGTTTGAAGAAGGATGTAAAGCATCATGCAATGGGTAATCTTTATTACTATTGAAATATGCTTCCTCTTATAGAATCATATAAGTATTATACTTTAACAGCAGCCAGCTTGAAGTTTTCACTCAAACATAGGATTTACATGAGTCTGACTAAAGATTGCAAGCCTGGGGGAGGGGAGGGGTACTCCCCTATTCACTATACGGGTACTTGCCGCCAAACAGTGTATGGTTTTCAGTGATTCTATGCTGGAACATGGTGTATACAATCGTGCTTGCTCTGGGACAGGGTATATGAAATCACTCTCTCTCCTCTCTGGAACAGGATACCTATTTTCAGCGATTTTACTCTGGAACAGGGTCAGAGTTCAGAGGGCTCAGCAGCACAACCCTACCCTAAACAGGCAAGAGTTACCCTCCCCCAGATTTAAAGTTTATTATGACATCACATTCTGCTTTCAGGATATAGTTAAAATGCTATATATGAAAAACCTCAGTTTGGGGTGCATGTTAATCAATCAATCCATCAATATCTTTATTAATGTGTCTAAACTTCTAGCGCGTTCCACACAGGTGGCAACACATACCTATCGGGGACACCTAACACTAATTGGGAACACCTAATCTACCACTGCCTATGATTGTGCCGTTCTTTTGGAAATAGAGCCTGCTCAGCTAAAACCCTTTTTAGCTTAACATCAATGCCATATTTTATTTGATATATTGATTAAAATAACTTTTGCTTATATTTAGTCCTTATGATGGTAAATGGAGCAAGACAATGGTTGGCTATGGATCAGAAGATGATCATTTTGTTGTTGAACTCACTTACAACTATGGAATTAAAGAATACAAGTTAGGAAATGATTTTCAGGTAATCAATTGTACCTCTATTATTCTTGGCCTATTACCTGTACATGTGGCAGAGTGACCTGATCATGAAGTGAACATACTGAAAACGTGGAAAAAATAATTGTAGCTGCAAAATTCATTGTAAATGAATTTTTGTAAGCCAGTAACTACTGGTGTTGCAAAAGCTTTGATGTTGTAACCCAGTAGTTACTGTAATGATTGTAAAGGAATTTTTGTAAGCCAGTAACTACTGGAGTTGTAAAAGCTTTGATGTTGTAACCCAGTAGTTACTGCAATATATTGTAAAGGAATTTTTGTAAGCCAGTAACTACTGGAGTTGTAAAAGCTTTGATGTTATAACCCAATAGTTACTGTGATGGTAAATAAATTTTTGTAAGCCAGTGACTACTAGAGTTGTAAATGCTTCAATGATGTTGTAACCCAGTAGTTACTGTAATTTATAAATTTCACAAGGTCTTTGCATACTTTTACTCAAAAGAAAAATAAACAATATTAGAGATATGCATCATGATATATTACTGTCATTTTCCCAGGGCCTAACGATTCACTCCAAAGATGCTGTTGCTAATGCAAAGAAGAATAACTATAATATGATAGAGAAGGAAGCAGGGTGTTACTTGACTCAAGCGCCTGATGGATATCCTTTCTATCTTGTTGATGAAAATATTTCTGGAGGTAAGAAAGTACTTAAAGCAACCTCTGTCATTACAACTAGTAGACCTAATGCTCTGCTTTTTAATGATAATAATGATGAGAGGTTTTTATATGGCGCATTTATACAATGTCTCAATGGGCTTTACATTTATGACCAGTTGAGGACTTTATGGGCTTCATATTAAGGCACTAGTAGCAGCCGTGCAGCTTACAATCATTTGTGATTTGTGATTTTTGGACCAGTTACCTGTTTGAGAAAAGCAGGACCGAAACATATCTTATAGGTTGCTCCATGTGGTCCCATACTCTCTTTATATTTAATATAACAAGTTGAATTGCATTGCATCTCTGTTAAAAAATGTTTTATGAATCTCTATCTAATTTGTCTATCATTTATTAGATCCTGTACAAAAGATATCTCTAGGAGTTTCATCCCTCAGCAAATCATTGGACTATTGGCATAAACTGCTAGGAATGACTGTTGTAAACCAATCAGACTCTAAAGCAACTCTGGCATACAACACCAATGAATGCAAGCTGGAGCTGGTGCAGCTGGAAGGCAAAGTGGATCATGCAACTGCATTTGGAAGAATTGCCTTTTCCTGTCCCAAAAATGAGCTTCCAGGGATTGAGAGTGCTGTTAAACAAGAAGGACATGCTATACTAACACCACTAGTCAGTCTAGATACGCCAGGAAAGGCAACTGTTCAAGTGGTTATCCTTGCTGATCCGGTAAGTCTCTCTTCTTTAATAACATGCTACAGTCCACATGTTGTAATTAATCAAGGGATTATTATCTTATAGTTTACCCAGTTCAGACGCCGTGTCAGGCCACTTGTCATTCCCCTGAGTAGGATTCTAGCATGATTCGTTTAACACAATTGACGAACCATATGCATCAATCGATCAGGCATTATTTAAGATTCTAAAATTCCTAAATAATTCTAAAAAGCTGCCATTTTGTTGCCACAAGGGGGGGGGGGGGGGGTCTGGCCCCTATTCTTGCCTATACCCCTGATTAATGTACCTGAGAAGCTAAGTTAAATGACGCTGCTCAAAAAAAGAAATGTGCTCACAAGTCAATGATTCATGGTTAAAAGGGGGGGGGGGGTGGTTAAAAAATTGGGGGGGGGGGGTGGAATTTTACCCAGACGAATGAGGCATATTGATACTGTCTTTCTTTCTAGGATGGTCATGAAATTTGTTTTGTTGGGGACGAGGCATTCAGGGAGTTATCCAAGGTGGATCCAGAAGGAGACAAGCTTTTAACTGAGGTACAGCAAAAGAATACCATTCCTGTGAATAGAGTAGACTTTGTATGACTTTCAGTGACCCATAGTAGTCATTACCTCATTGGAAAACTTACAGACATGGACCTGGTAATAATGGTAATAAACATGGCACAGTGTGATTAAGGTCAATGACCTCTTCCTATATACTTCAGCCACGCTCGTTTGACTTAACCCTTTTTCATCCTAAACATCCACTGCGTCATGCATTTATTCTTTGAGCAGTGCCAGTATCATTTATTTTCTTCCTTTCCCCCTTCATAGGCCATTGTCAACGACAAGAGCGATGAATGGTTTGCAAAGAAAAAAGCAAAGAAGGATTAAGCACAAGGCAATAATTAGAATCTAACTAACAGTACTAACATTAAATCCATTAAGTCATTCATCAATACTTTTTATTAGGTAGCTATTTAACAATGGTGTACAATCTGATTGTAAACAAGATTCAATTGCTGGAATTCATAAAGTCAACTGTAATATGATATACTCTTATATACCACAATAATAAAGTTTATGAGTTTATTGCGCCTTTTTATGGCCAGTAAGGCCTAGGGCAAACGTCAAACTTTCCATGCACCGAACTCATTAAACTCAACAATGGATATCAGGTGATAATGAGGCGGCATTCTTTGATGTAATTAAGTTCGGTGCATGGAAAGTTCGACGTTTACCCTAGGCCTAATTCATGACATTATGAGGACAACTAAAAATGTAAAACCACAACAAGCAGTTAACTGGTAGCTATTTTGATATTCAACTCCAAAGGGTTGCAACCTTTTGAACTTAATCATTGTTTCAGAAGTCTGGATTTTTGGCTTGTTAACCCCAATAYGATAACTACTCTCTCCTATGTAAAACTACTGTAGACACTGACATGACCTAAGCTCCACTACACCATCATATACACAGTTATAAAAAAAACACTATCAAGTCGTTTGAGTGACAACAAAACAATAGTTTGAAGGATGAGTTGAGGTTGTGGTTGATGCTTTTATACATTAACTGTATTTCAACAAGTCCAGCTTTGACTTGAAACCATCCTTTTGTAAGTCACCCAAGCCAATTTGGGAAAGGACTATTGCCCTTGATGTACCTCCTTTTTTGGCGATTCTGCATTTTGAGACACCATAACAGTTACTATACAATAGTTACAAAAATCTTAGCTCCACTATACTATAAAATTTTGTCTAAAAACACTATTAAATCAATAGTGAAGGTGTCGGCTTTTTACCAGGCCAAGCTTCCTTGGCATACTTCTTTTTGGGTGCTTCTACAGGCTGAGCTGGCCTCAATACATTTGCTCGAGCAACCAGTGGCTCAGGATGGACTTCCATTGGTTCAACACCAGGTGAAATAACCTCAGGGGCTGAAGTAATATTTAATTTAGGCATTGAAGCTGTTGGTGAAGTAGGACTGGTTGGTTCATCTGTATTTGTGCCAGGTAGGTTGGCATAAAGACCTTGAGAATAGGGGAAACTTTGTAGACGTTTGGTGATGTTATCTGTAAGACTAATGCCTGGAGATAGTGGACCACGAGTTTTCTAAACAAAAAAAAAACATTTGAATTTGAATTTTGTAACATAACCAATGTGAAGCAAGCATGGATAGAAATAGACATTCAGTTGTCTAGAGAAAAAATATTAGCCAATCAGAATAGTCCCCTTCACAGTTGCAGGCGCCATCTTGAAAGGTAACCGTGCCTTTGCATTGAAGCGAGACAACGGTGAGCTTGCAATGATAGAGACGTGTGAATAATTGTTCAAGGTGTTAAAAAAGGTCTCTATCATTGCAAGCTCACCATTCGTCTTGCTTCGATGCAAAGGCACAGCTACCTTTCGAGATGGCGCAGAGAACTGTGAAGGGGACTACTGATAAAAATTGCAAAACAAAGGTGTCACTTCTACCGAAAAAATGAAAAAAAAAATGAAAGAAAAAAAAATGGTAATAATAATTGCTGATATTATACATGTATTATTTTTTGCTGGTCATTTTTTAGGGTTCAGGAGACCTCAGTTTTGCTAGTGAGCTTATTTCTACACAACTATTTCAGAACAGCTACATGTGCAGATAAAACATACCTTGTTTGGTACAACAACAGATGTTTGAACCATATTCCTAAACTTTCCAATGCTGGGATCAACATCCTCTGTGTAAAGAAAAAATACAGAGATGATCAATTTAAAAAAAAAATCCTTAAATGTAAAGTGAAAAAAAGCAACTTTCTTTAATGGGGATGACACACTCTCAATTTGGTAGTTGTGTCATTTAACTTTAAGAACAAAGGCAAAATTGCCTTCAAATAAAACATTTTTTAAATGTTTTTTTTTAATGACCAAGGGTTTGAATTCAGGGTAAAGCCTAACCATGAGAACTGACTGACAGTAGTTTCAGCCTATTCAGTGATTTTTGAGTAATTTCAGCTTTCTTTAATTTAAGTAAAATAAGAAAACAGAAGGCTATAGTTGTAGATACCGAGTGTAAAATGGCCTGTATTTTACTGTTCTTCTACTCTAACCGTGTACACTCGAGTTTGTCAACCAATCAGATTATGAATCAAAAACAAGAGAATTTGAGTTATATGTACTGAAATTCTATAAATGCTATTCAAGGAGATGAAAATTAATGATGATAGAGAAAAAAAAGTATAAATTTACACAAATAAAAAATGGAATAAAAAAACTCGAGATCATTCACAGTTAGAGTAGAATGACAGAAAGCTCAATTTACTTTTACAGATTATTATTTATTACCTGGATTAATAATTTCTTCAGAGTCTCTAAAAGACACACCAGTCGAAGATTTTCTTTTGCGCTTTAATTTGGACAGAGAACCTAAAGTACCACCTGACTCATCCAAGCCTATAGATGCCAGTCTCTTGTTGTGTGCAGTATTAAACTCTGTTAGATCCTGGGATACAAATGACAAAAGTTATAGAATCAAAAAATAAATGGATTGACGCACAGATTATATGGTACTTTTCATTTTTTATTTTTTTGAAGGTACTAGCCAGGGCTTGCATTTTTTAACTTAGAGTACATGGCTAAAACTAAAGGTCAGTCAATGGACATCATCATGTCAGAATTGAAACTTGTCTGGTAAAATATTCAAATATTTGTCCAGCTGGTCATTTTGACGAGTAACATTGACCAGAAATGAGGTATTACTGCAATAAAATAATTTGGCCGGTCATCAAAGTCGGTACATGTAGGTGCATTTAGGACAAGTAGCAGAGAAGAAAGGCAGATGGATAAACAGACAGAAGGACAGAGGATGTCAAGATAAAATACAGTAAATATACAAATATAAATATAAATATAAATACATAAAATACAATATTGGATCTAGAACGATTTCAAGGGGGGTGAGTAGACCTCCAATTCAACCCCTCTCTCCCTGGATCAGCCCTTGCATTGCGGTAAGTATATAAATGAATTCATAGCCACTTACATCTAATTCTGTATCAGATTCAGGCAGACCCAAAAGACCAGCCTTGGAATTTTCCTCATTTTCTTCTCCATTTTCTCTGTCTCCTTTTGATGATCCTGTAGGTTTTTCTCGTAGTGTATATGTACGGGTAGAAGCACCAAATCTAATTACACTGTCGACTTGGACCTGCGTTGGTTTTTGCTTTTCAATTCTGACAGTACCTATGAATGTACCATGTGCTGGAAAAAGTATTTAATGAGCCATGAGTAAAGAGTAAAACCAAGGAACATACTGTAAAACGAATCAAAACATCAAACTCTGAAATCCCAGGACTGTTTAAGGTAAAGGCAAGACTAACTTACAGGATGAATGGGAATTTAGCATTTTGGGTCTTCATGCAGGAGGCAGAAAAAACCCAGAGAAAGTCCTTGAATCTAGGAGAAGACCTAACAAACTCTAATTACATGTGTTGCTGAGTCCAGGAATCAAACCCAATTTAGACCCAGGAGAAAAACCCTCGAATCAAGGGAGAGACCTAACAAACTCTACTCACATGTGATGCTGAGTCCAGGAATCAAACCCAATTTAGACCCAGGAGAAAAACCCTTGAATCAAGGGAGAGTCCTAACAAACTCTACTTACACGTGTTGCTGAGTCCAGGAATCAAACCCAATTTAGACCCAGGAGAAAAAACCCTTGAATCAAAGGAGAGTCCTAACAAACTCTACTCACATGTAATGCTGACTCCAAGAATCAAATCTGAGACTATTGACAAGTGAGTGCACTAATTAACTAACACTTACTGCTTCCTAAATCAACCAGAAAGCATCTCTTCAAGTTTCTGTGGAATACAAGAGCTGAATGTACCCTCGAACAAGATGTATGTTCCAACTGAAAATCACAAACGTCTTTATTCCTTCCAAACAGATAGCAGGATTTTTCATCAATGATTAGTTTCTGAAAAAAAAGAATTTAGCAGTGAAAAAAATATGTCCTGGATTCTGTTCGTAATAGATTATAGTCCCCCTCCCTACAATGAAATTGTGTGAGTAGTTAAGCTTTTTCTACATCCAATGAAAAAGAAAATTTAGGTTTACAATAGAAAAACTTGCACATTGCTAAAAAGAAGCACCTTATATAGTTTTGCAGTACAATGTTAACCACAGGCAGCCCAAACAAGTTTCTTGTGTATGGTTTATAAGGGAATGTAAGAAGCTATACAAAAAAAATTTTTCACTTCAGAACTTGCTGCAATAGTTGCTTGAACCTTGTTTAGTCTTCTGGTGTAGTTTTTAGCACGATCTGAGGCCGTTTAGTGGGTTTTTTTCAAAATTTGCTCCTCTCTTTCTAAATAGGCTGCTGGAGACTTACCTCCCAATATCAACTACATTACGCTATATAACTCCCATACGTTTCCTTAAAAACCACACAAGGAAACCTTGTTTGGGCTGCCTGTGTGTTGATTTTATAACTGCTCCACCACTTTATCTTTTAGATTGAGAGTCTAATTCTCCCTACTGAAGGTCGATGGATAAAACTACTATTGATTTATTAAAACATCAATAAACCCGGGCAATAAAACACCATTATTGTTATTTTCAAGGTCAAAGATCACTTTCTCGATTCAAACCAAACTACACTCAATCAGTCTATGAGAGTTTTATTCCTTAAATCTAAGACAAGAAATCTCAGATTATACTGGAAGTATACTATTATTTTGAAGTCGTTATACCTCGATAAGTTTGTCGCCTTTCATGACATCCAAGTGTAGACCTTGTGAAGGCTTTCCAGCCCTAATAAACACACAATAAGCTAATCAGACACGGACAGCATGTCAATGGAGTACAATACTACTCTTAAGGAATGTAACATACCATGTTGGGATGTCATAAGGAGGTTTAATCGCTGGTGTTACAGTCTTATCGTTCAACTCAGCCGTTTTGTCCGCCATTTTGACGCGCGCCAGCGTGGCTTAACTAAAAGACTGGGAACAAGTCTAATGGAACAAATAACCCGGATGAGCCTACTAAGCCCCCCCCCCCCCCCCCCCCCACCTAAAAATATAAATGTCAAAAAAATCTTTCCCTTTTGAGTAGCAAAAGAAACTCAAAAAGTGTTAGTTCAAGGAAAAAAGTATAACGAAATAAGAGTAGTAAAAGAAACCCAAAAACACAACAACAACAATAACAAAAAAAACATACAAACTTTGAAAACTAAAAATGCCTTGTTTAAAAAGTGTGAAAAAATACAACCCTGGTATTACTACAATATATTTGAAAAACAATATTAACTTTCATGCTTTGAATGCTAGATTCGCTTTCGATTTTTCTTCTCAAGATTTTTTAAAAGCCAACAGTTTTTGGGATTCCTGTGGTAAATATATCCCAGAAGTCCGCTGGGGATGTTTTCCCGCCAAGGGAAGTTGACAAGAAGAACGAGAAAGACTTGAGAGAATTGTATGTGAAGTGCGGTGCAGAATGTCGATGAAAAATGCTCACAGACTCTTCCTAAGGACGTTAATGTCACGTCAGTTCATGAAAGAGGGCGAGATAAAGACTATTTATCAAAAATCTTGCGAAGCTTATGATGGTAAGGGAGTTTAACGAAAAAAATCTAGCCACCACTTTAATTTGAGTCATGCAATTTTGGTTTGTTGTTTGTTTAGAGGACTGTTCCGACGATCAATTCCAGGGATTTATCAACACAGTAAATAGAAGTCTAAAGCCGTTGTTTCTTGAGATAAGACACGTAGTTTCAGAAGATAATGGAGTGCTTTACTTTGGACTGGTAAGAATTGTTTGTGTCTGAGGGAGATGAGGTTGGGGATGGAGGGGGGAGGGTGGTATGGAAACCACATCGTAGTGGCTTCATTCAGGCAGTTCCAGGAAATATTCGGGTCACTTTTTGTATGATTACATAAATTATATGCACATATTTAATAGCCATTACGTCTTTGTTGAGGCATCATTCTACTGAGAGTTCGAATTCCTAAATGTCAGTATACAGCTCAAACCTTTTTTGCACAGCAGCCAAGTTTTCTTTTTATTCACTTTTTGTATTGAACATACCAATGCACATTACCAGCTAGTAAATGCCCTCTAAAACTGAACTGCCCCATGATGCAGCATGTCCTACTCGTTAATATTTTTCCGCACAAACCTCAAAAATGCCAATGTAATATCGGCATATTGTAATGACCCTACCCCCCTAAGGAATTAGCTAGCACGCGCATGCATACTTTAGTAAGTGTGCCATGTGAGGATTTCGAAATAGTAAAGTTGTTTATTTCTGTTGATTATGAAGCCTATTTCTCTTCACAAACATAGCGAACGCTACACCAATAGACCAGGCCTGTCATATATACACTTCACTGTTATCAATGTTCAATGTTACATTTTGTTAAATGAACAAAATATTTATTTCAGATAAACACAACGGAAGATGAACATTCTAAGATGGCTACTGATTATTCACCAAATGATATAACATTATTTAAAAAAGCTGTAAGTACTGTCCTATTATTCTATTCTTGGGACCCCTAGCAATGCCATAATATATACATATACAAAATTAATGTTATCTTCTGTATGTATATTTTAGATTGATTTAATTATTAATTCTGACGATGGGACTGTTTCATCGTTGGACCTGATAAACTGTGCTGCAGACCTTGAAAAGAAAATGGCTTGCTCTTATACAGAAAAACTTCTTGAAAGACTTGTACTTGATAAATGGATGGATGAGGTAACTGAATTTATTTTGTCTTTCTGAGCACTGGTTCTCTTCTTCGTATCCCCAGATGTTGATAGAACCAACATATTACAGTGCATGGTCACTGGGCTTGAAATAGAAATATTTTTCAGCCTGCCATAGTAAAGGAGCATGGTAAAAGGAGGTCATTCCAGTAAATTTTGCATGTCATCTCATTATTCATTTATCAGTGCATCATTATTTTTGCATACAAAACCTTAGATTTGGCCATTGGCAAGCCGCTATTTCAAGCACTGGTCACATCTTCCCAATAGGATGGTGATCTATTTTTTCCGATCTTAACTGACTTTCTATTTTGAGTTCTCAACTGAACAGTTTATAATTTGGAATGCAAATAAAAAAATTGCTGACTTGTAAAAGTGTAAGTTGTATAAGATATTCTTTAGTACAGGGCCCAGTTATACAAAGGGTGGATAGTGCTATCCGATGAATAAATCCTTATCCAGTGGATAAATTTATTAGATAACAGCATCAACTTATCCACTTTATCAGGAGTTATCCATTGTATAGTGTATTCACCTTTCATACAAGTATGACCGGGCCAAGGTGTGTATGGGACTATGTATTGAAAAAATATTTGAAAAATTGTAGTCTTCAGGTATTTACTCTCTTGGAGGAAGAGCAATGCTAGAATTGGAGCAGTACCTAAGGAGAGTCTATGAAGATGATATAGTGGAGTGTATGATGTGCAAGAAGATTGCCCTTAAGGTTAGTCCCCAAACATTGTGTTGTGGGAATTGTTCCATTGTACTAAAAACAATACTTATGGGTTGTCTTATCTTAAAAGAATTTTATGCAACCAGGCCTTGATTCCAATCTTTGAATTAATTTTATTTGATAGTGTCAAACATGCGAACAGTGTGAAGGAAAACTCCACAAGCATTGTGCTGGAAAATATTTTGCAGGAAGGTAAAGTATTGCCAACCCTTATTGTACTCCCAAGTCTATTAAATATTGTTTGTGTTTCTCCTTTTTTGGGCTGCCTCTGAAAATATTCCCAAGTCAAAAAAGTATATTAGGGCCCTTTGTGTACCCAAAATGACCACATAACACTACTGCACCTAAATGAAGTTAATGGTTTGGTATAATGATTTTAATTTATGATATTTTTCAGAGCACAGCATATGTGTCCCAACAAAAACTGTGGTGCTCCTTGGACTCATGATGTTCCTGTATTGCCATCATCAAGATCAAGTGAGTATCAGCAACATTATGAAATCCATCTGTCCTAAGCAGAACAACACCAAAAAGCTAATTTCTTATCTAAGACAGTTTTTTAAGTTTAATTGTTTAATTTCTGGGCTTTCAGGTTCAAATTTTGGACTTGCCTTTTTTGTTGGTCTCTCCCTTAGTTCAAGGGTGTTTCTCTGGGTTCTGCAAGTTGTCCGGCTTTTCTTCTTCCACAAAACCCAACATAGTATATTCCAATTTGATATTCAAGTAGCTGTCCCTTACTCAGATCAGTCAAGAGGATTTTAGGGTTCAATAAAATTGATGTTCTGATTTTTTATAGATGTTACTAGCAAAGGTAAAGGTCCAGCTTCAAGTACTGTTGGTCCCACATCTCACAGATCAAGGAGATCTAGGTAGTATTACTATACATTAGAAATAGATTTACTATTATAGTAATGCATGACGATAGAATTATACATATAATTATTATATAATTTCATATTGTTTCTGTTCCACTGATTAAGATCTGTGGGTTATTCCTATTCATAGAAATACCTTAAAATTCACTCCAATTTATTTTTGTCTAACCGTTATTCCATCTGATTGCTATTATTTATCAAGCACCATTCCTGCTGACCTGCAAAAGTCTTGCAAATCCACTAAGTTGTCAGTAAATATTATTTTGTATTTGTTCAGAAAACCTTTTTTAAAGATGTGCCAAAAGTCAGGTAATTTTTTAGTCAGAGAATACAAAAAAAAAACGTTTTTTAGAAATTGGGATTCCTCTGGAATTATGCTATAGGAGATAATGACTACCTGGTTGTGACTTTGGTTGCTCTGAAGTCAGTGAAAAATGAAGTATTGTTAGTGAAATATCAGGAAAATGTGAGTAATTTTTATTCATCAGGAAAGTTGGAACCCTAAGTGTATTATGAAGTAAAGGAAATACCTATTTGAAGTTTTTAGTTAATAACTTTTGTAGCTTCTCTATACTTTGTAGTATTTTTTCAATCCACCATGTGTTCAAACATCAAATCTTTTATAAATTCAAACAATGACCCTAAACTACAAGCAAAAGTTTTTAACAAGTTTATTTTTATTTATGTTAAATGTAGACCATGCTCTCAATATCAGTTCATACTTTTATTTAATCTGTTTTAAGATGCATGTACTTAAATACATGTCTAATACCTCAATTCATATAATTATTTAAACTTAGTTTCTATTTTCCCTTATTTTTAAATATTTCTTGGTCTAATTTTGTACTTTTCTGGGCATAAATTGTTTTTTGACTATCTATAAATATTATATTCCCAACTAAAGGGTGTTCCAGAGGTTCTCATGCTACAGTGCTTCTTGGTCATAGGTTTCATCGTCATGAAAATAAAACCTATGACTGGGATCACGAGAGACCCCAGGGTATCAAGAAAGTCCAAAGACTTTGCGCTTTTTGATCAGAAAGAGAAAATGGGGAAAAGTCTTTGCAGGGTAATAAAGTATAGCAACACTGTCATTAACATCATAATGGTCCATAAAGAACAGTAACAGGGGCAGGTATCCTGTGGTGCACCAGACACCTCCCTAATGCATTAATTACTCACTTATACTCTCTTGAAGTGCCGCATAATATCCTCCTAAGAAATTCCTGGATCCACCCTTGAGTTTTCTCGAATGTCTGTCCAAGCTTATGTTGTCTCAACTGTCTCTTATCTAGAATAGAGTTAACTATTTCTGTTGATGTTGAATATGGTGCCACACTACATTACAATCACTCCCATGCCTTCTAAAGGACCAGGAAGTGGCTGAAACTTGTCCCATTTATTACTAAGAGGGTCATATTTCTCAATTGAATCAGTCTCCACATTCATGAAAGCTCCTCCTATTGCTAAGAGTTGATCATCAGTCACCACTGCTGCAGGACTCTCCCTACGCATTGATAAAGGTGGTAGCGACATCCATCTGTTCATTCTTGGATCGTAACACTCAAATGAATTATGATCCTCATCGTTATCACTTCCACCAACTACCATAATTTTCTTCTTAAGAATTGCTGCTCCAAAGTATCGTCGTCTGTATCCCATGGGTATACAAGCACTCCATTGGCCGATTCTAGGATCATATCGTTCCATTGAATTGAGTATGGTCAGGCCACTGTCGCCTCCTATGGCATAAAGAGCTCCATCTAATGTTACCATGGATATTCCTTCTCGCATGGTGCTCATAGGTGTAACAGAATTCCACATGTCTCTGCAGTTAACAAAATGCTTACACATTAAGAAATATTGGAGGTATTATTTCCAATGATCAGTTTATATCTCTTACTTACTACTCGAAATAGGCATGGATGCAGCTTTCACTTTCTTTTTCTCTACTTTGATTTGTATATTATAATTTATAATTTATTTTTTGACATTGTATTGTAATGTTAAAAAAAATTATAGTTCCCTCCAAAAAAACAGTCAATCCTTCTTAAAACTTAGCATTATGATGACTCAATTTTCTTTCTCTTTAGTTCATTCTTTCTTTCTTTTCTCTTATTATTGTTAGCTTTCAATTTAATCCCTACCTGACTGGGTCATAACGCTCAACGGTATTATATTCTGACCCTGAAAAGTCACTACCTCCTGCAGCATATAACCAACCATCTAACTCAACCAGGCTGAAGGCATGCCGACCACATGCCATGGGCTGTACAAATGACCACTTCTGAGTTGCTGCGTCAAAGCATTCAACAGAACTGAGTGCTACATCTCCATCACAACCTGAAAAATTTTTAATTTTAACAAATTTTAATTTAAATTATTCAAGTATATTAAGTACTCTGTATAATTATATTATAATTATAATGTTATAATGATATTATAATCCTAAATTTAGAAATCATAACCATGATAATATAGTATATTATAATTTTGTGCTGACTGCCTACTGCTCATGATTTAGCTTCTCATGATTTCCCAATATCCTGCGTGTTCATAAATTATGATTCAAACTGGTAAATTTAAAGTATTATGATATAATTATTAATGCTTGAACATAATTTTTAGCTTTGAATTAAAGAAATATATTCCTAAATGTTGTTTTACAAGCAATAGAGAAAAAAAGAGTTTTTTGACAGATGCATCTCTGAAAATCAAAAGTTTGATGAAAAATTGGATAAATAATATTCACCACCATCATGGCACATACCTCCAGCTGCATAGATACGTCCAGCATGATGTGCAACCCCAACACCGTCCCGTCGCTGATGCATATTGGGAAGAAAATCCCACTTTTCTGTCTCAAAGTTGTATCGTTGAACAGTATTAAACACCTGGTTGTGAATTTCCCCTCCTACTACATACATCATTGCACCATGGTCCATCTGACGTGGTGTCGATGGCACTTGCATCTTGTCACGACGCTCAGGAAGAAGGTGGAAGTTCTTGGCTTGGCTAATTATTCTCATGCAAATGTCACTTTCCTGGACAAGATCATCACTTTCAATACAGTCAACTGGAAAAATATGTAAAAGATTAAGAAGTTATAAAAGTGTGATGCATTGAATCTGTTAAAATGTATTTGTCAGTTGCAAAGATCAAGAAAAAAATATTAAGTTCTTTTAATTTCCATAATTTCTTTGATCTTTTTATTCATTTTTGTCATTTTTGAAGAAATATACTAGATGTCAAAAATATTTTGACATATTTATATAATATATTTACTTTGATCGGCAGATGTAAATAATATTTTGATTGATATCTGTGCAATATTAGTTTTTTTAAAATAAGATAATAGTTAAACTAATAAAGTAGACCCCCAAGCCTACTTTATGGGCTAAATGTTATTATCTACATTTCATTGTTGCCATTAGCCACGAAAATGGAAGCAAAAGGCTTAAAAGCAACTGAATTCCAAATATCTTGAAAGAGGGGTTGTTCCATTCCAGGTTTTCTTTTTCTTTTCTGTTCTTTTTTTTTTTTTTTTTTTTTTTTTTTTTTTTTTTTTTTTTTCTTTTTTTCTTTGAGGCTTGATTCGATTCCCATAATTAATCACCATTTATCTCCTCTTACAAGTAATGAAGAATAAAATTTAAAAAAAAGAGAGAAAAAAATAATGTAATCATAATCCAATATTTTCATAATTTTTTATAATTTCTATCAAAAAGGAATGGTTTTTGTAATGGAAACAGCGGGATATATCCTTGAAGACTTTTTCAAGACTGGAAAAAAATAACACTACATCTTCATTTTACGATTATGATTTTTTTAACGACTATTTTCAAGGTATTGCAAGTAAAAAAAAATGGATGGAAAATCAAGAATATCTGCAATGAAATAATATTTCCAAAAGTATACAAAAACTCACCTAATATTTTTGGAGCCAGAAGAGGCAACCTTATGTATTTTAGGAGGGAAGGAAGGTGCTCTTTTCGTTCACCTAAATCATGTCTAGTCCACAAGAGCACTGCATCAAATACATCCTTTTCGCTAACAACATTAAGTGAGTCGCTCTTTAGTATCGAAGAAATTTGATCATAAGTTGCCAACAAAAACTCGTCCGTCTTTGCAACTTCAAGAAATTTCTTTTCGGCGTAGTTAAGAGCTGCGAGTTTAAGTTCAGTACAGTCATGATGATCGGCGAAATTTCCTATTCCAAGGCAGTTGGATGGATGAAGTTGATTTTTTAGAAAACTACAACACGTCTCGATAATCGTAGTAAACTGTAACAAGTTAGCGACGGATAATAAATTTTGTACATTTTCTTCAGTGATTTCTATAGTTGAAGTATAGCAAAAGTCTATTAATTGTCTGACGGCTTCGGAGTCCACTTCCTTTAATGTAATTCGAGTTTGATTTGTTTCGCTCATTCCATTCGTAAACATCGAATAAAAGTACGAACTATTCGCGGCTAATATTAGTCGGTGCGAGAATATTTCTTCTTTCTCTACTACCACAACGACGTCGCACATTTTCTGTCGTTGATAAAGACTTCTAAGAGTTTCAAGAACATGGCAAGGATGGAATGAGTCCTTGTATATGAGAACTTGCGTTTCTTGCTTTGCGATGTCGTCCGCCATTATTGTGATGTTATTGAAGCCATTCAAAGGTTATGATTTCAATACATCTATACAAGCTTCACTTTCATTGGCTCTTAATTTTTTAAAGCGATGATTGATCAAATCAAGTTGCAGGTCTAAAAGATGTTTTGTCATAGTTTCAGTACACCTGTTCGCACACGCGATTTTGCACTCAATGGAGTTTGAAAACAATAGTATAGACACGCTGTTATACTTTCGACTTTTCTCGCAAAAGATATTTTTAACCACAATTTTTTTTTAATTGGACTAAACAAATTGGGAAAGGAAATGAAGCCAAACACAGATTCTTAGATCAAATGAAAACATGTTTTAAAATCCATAACAAAAATGATAAAAAATAATATTAATGATAAATTTGCTGCATATTGTCATATATCTGATTGTTAATGTCATACTGATCACGTGACTGTACTCTGATATATAATGATCTAGTTTGTAAACAGTGATTCAGAACTTGTACTAGCGAGAGCACGAATAAATCAATCTATAACACATATGAATCGGCCACTTAAGAAACGAGTGAAGGACTGGGAACGAAAATATAGAAGAGATTGATAATTAATCCTATTTGAAAAATATTCCCATGACTAGAAGGAGCACATAAAATTTAACAGGTTTCTGCATTATAGCTTCAATTGGCTAAGTGACAGCTAAATTATAAAAATTCAAAAACATGAAAAATTACGAAGTAATGTATGTTTACTAGGGACACGCGTCCCCAGTAACCATACATTTGTAATTTTTGAAATGTTTGGGAAGTTGCTACACAAAACATATGAAACCCAAAATCTTGAAACTCCAGAAATTTACTATTTCGATGTATTCTTTCTTGTTATGGTGTTTATTTTTTGACCAGATTAATTCTAAAACTCGTTCCCAGTCTTCAACCTTGTTTCTAAAATGGCCAATATGAACATTTCGCTATTAAATCGGTTACTTTTCGTGGTACGTCTGGTAAAGATTGAAACTGATTAAAAATATTTAAAAAAGGGATTTTGTTTAAAAAGATATAACTAGCTAAAAACTAGTGTAAACTGCGTCGGTGTTTCTAATGAAACTAAAGATGAAAAGGTAAATTAAAAGGTAAATTAGATTTTGTTTAAGATAGAATAATGCCGGGTTTTTTTTTTTTGTTTTTTTGTTTTTTGTTTTTGTTTTTGTTTTAAAAAATCCCATGGCTTTGCGCTAATGATTCGCGACAGTATAGCACTCGTTCACATCGGGGGGAAACGAGTGCTAATCGTGAAATTACATCTTAATACATATTAATAGAGTGCTCGTAACAAACATAGAATAAACTAAACCGACAATGATTTTGTTATCAACAATAATAGATAATTCACTCACATCTCTAAATTTTATTTCAGTTTATAATTCAATATTCAATAGAAAGATAAAACCGTCTATATAAATTTAAAAAATCATTAATAATTCATGAAGGAAACACAATAGAAATCATGACCATGAAGGAGGTTTTATATCGGATATAGATTCGTCTTCCTTCGCACTTTAACTGGGATTTTCTCTATCAAACTTGGTTCATTTCGTAAAGAATTCGGTACAGTATGAGAACATACATCAGGAGTTTTTTAAGCCGTTTAATAAACTCGCAGATCGTGTTTTATCGGGTCTAAAACCACTCGGCTACGCCTCGTGTTTTATACCCGATAAAACACTCCTGCTCGTTTATTTAAGTAATGTTTAATAATTCTAATTCAAATCCTGGATACGCCATAGTTTCATTCTAACCTGCAATGAGAAAATCAGATAACAAACCAGCATCAGAGAATGAAGAATAAATCGTAAGATAATAAGATTATTACTTAGATAACAGGCCCGTAGCAGGAATAAAATGATTGAGGGGGCTCGTTTTGCCACGCCCCATATTATCCGCATGTCTTGTTATGAGTTTTCATCATTTGCAAATGCCAACTATGTGAACTTTTTTTGAAAAAATGAGTCGTCTCTATCAATTTTAAGATGATAGTGTTTGAAATTTAGCTGGACGTTTACTTAAAAAAAAGTGTGAAAGGTATTTAAAAAATAAATGCACCCTGGCACACTTGAGCACCATGCAAGACCTATTTAGCTTCGTTTGTTTTGCAAATATCAGACCATGTGATGCCACTTAGAGAATAATTCTCAAGGAAATGTCATGATCTGAAATGGTCAATTTGCATACGAAGTTAAAAAGGTCTATTCTCAATTAAAGTTGCTTTTTCTTGGTAACATCCTCGGTACTGAATTCTAATTCACCTCTATCCAAAATTGACTTATCTTGCATTTAATCCAAACCGTAATTGAAATATTAATTAAAATCATTTTCTCCTTGTCACTATTATTTATTATTTGCCTTCATTATTGAATAAGCTATTGTTGTAGAAAAGCTACTCACTTTATGTTTATCACAATAAGCCTGAAGCGAGATGACATTTTACCCCCGACTCTATACCATAATAGTTTTTTAAATTCTTTCATATTAAAATTTTTGATTCCTTAGAGAATACAGGAACAATAGTCATAATTAAAGAACAAAAGCAATGTGAAAAGGATTATGGTCTAGAGACGGGGGTAAAACGTCATCTCGCTTCAGGCTTATTGTGCGCGGTGGAGGTTCTATAATTCTGGGGGTATTCTTTCTGACATTCTTCTGATACTTCTGTCGACGTCTCTGTTAATAGCTTCCTATGGTAAACAAAACAGTCTTTACAACTATGGCGACTCTGTGGAAACTTTAATGCACTAGCCAAATGAAACCCCCAACTCCCCTTGACAGGGCGGGGAAGTTAACTTTCATCATGTAGTGCATGATTTTTTCCCTGTCACGATAAATTTCTCGTTATAATTATTAACGTTCAGTTTTTCTGTTAAATACTCCAGTTTCGAGTTCTCTGTTGCTCAGGATTAGCCGCGAATTTGTGCAGAATATTCTTGTGTTCCAGTGAAAGGCCGTAGAATTTCACAGTGTTTGTTGAAGTTGTGCATTCTTTACTTTGAAATCACCGTTGGTATTTGTGAATATTTAGACACTGATTCGAGGCTAACCCTGAGTAAATGAGTGTGCACTCAAGGAACACAGCAGTAATTTGGAACTTTCAAATAAAACTGCTGTAGTACTCGTTAGTGAATTCTCCGTATACCCTTGCGTTCAGAGTGTGGGTTTCAATTGACTCAGTGGAACACAATATTCAGCATTTCAATATTTCGCATAATGTATTTGCTTTTAGTGTACTTACAGCATTCAATGGGTCCTGCTGTGGTTGTTGTACAGGCTGTCCACTCGTAGAAACGTGGAAATTTCTATGATTACCGATAAAATGATATTCCTGGGGGGGAAACAATTAGTTGTTGGAAGGCATTCAATAATTTATTGAGTTAAAAAAAGTAAATGCAAAACTTACAGCATTCAATGGGTCCTGCTGTGGTTGTTGTTGGGAACCACTTAATTCAATAACCAGTTATGTAAAGTAAATGTAAAACTTACAGCGTTCAATGGGTCGTGCTGTGGTTGTTGTACAGGCTGTCCACTCGTAGAAACGCCATGTCTAAGTTCACGGTTGAAATTATGTCCCTAAAAAAAACAGAGAGAGTTGTTGGGAACCACTTAATTCAATAACCAGTTATGTAAAGTAAATGTAAAACTTACAGCATTTAGTGGGTCCTGTTGTGGTTGTCGTATAGGGTGCCCTCTGGAAGACATTTTTACTTTCCGCAGTTAAAACAAGATGCCTAAACGGAAAACCAGATTGCTGAAAACAAAGTGTTGCATTTCTATTGAATACGATCAATATTTGGTATAACTTACTTTGTTGAATGGTTCTTACAGTCAGACCTTGTGCAGACGGCTAGTGCCGTTGTCCCATAATTAATATACCTGTAAAAAGTCATTAGGATCATAGTTAGAGTACTAACTATATTGTTAGGGGTAAACACATTAACTCCATAAAACCAAATCAAATAGTGCACTCCAATTCTTAATTGTTGGCATATTGAAATTCAAAGGTCTACGAAAGCTTTCTTCAAATGCGGTTAAGACGAAAGGAAGTTTTTGAAAAATCACATTTAGTCTTAAATGGAATTGCGCATCGAGGTTTATTGCTGGCTTTCACTACACTTTCGAATTCATTTCCTGTCGTGCGGAATGTTTATCAGTTGAATCACTCTTTTACACTCGTGCTTAAAAAATTAAAAAATATATAAAAAACTATACGATATAATAATAAACAAGCAAAAAACAACTAGGCAGGTAATGGGCATTCATATAGATAGATAGATAGTTAGTTAGTTAGTTAGTTAGTTAGTTAGTTAGTTAGTTAGTTAGTTAGTTAGTT